TCATACATCTTGAAAGAACACCTAGTGGGGCTTAGGCGCATAACATACTTCTTAACGAATGTAGGACATCTTCCAAATCCTCTGCATGAATGTGCCCCTCGATGAGCTTAAATATCATATCATCGACATAGACCTCCATATTTTACCTTATATGGGTGGTGAAGACAACATCCATTAGGCGCTGGTAGGTGGTGCTAACGTTCTTGAGGCCAAAAGGCATGACAATGTATTAGTAATTATTGCCATGGTTCGACATGAAGGTTGTTTTAGGCTCATCAAGGGGATTCATGTGAATATGGTTTGTACCCTGAGTATGCATTCATGAAGCTCAATGTGTGGTAGCCCGATGATCTTTCAATGAGGCGATCGATGTTTGGCAGTGGGTCCTTGGTGCAGGTGACGTTCAGGTTTGTGAAATTTACGCAGATGCGCCACCTATTTTTAGCTTTCTGTACTAGAACCACATTATCTATCCGGGTGGGATATTTTGTTTCTGCAATAAAATCGACATTAGACAGCTTTCTCACCTCTTTATTAATGACGGTCCTCTTTTCTTCACCAACTTTCTCCTTCCTCTGTGCCACCAGTTTAGCGGAAGGGATTATGGCAAGGAAATGGCTCACCACTTTGGTGTAAATTCCTGGCATATCGGAGGAAGCCTGGATGAATAAGTCGACATTTTTAATGAGCTGGTTGACTAGTTATATTTCCTCCTCTACGGACAAGTATTATACCTATATTCGTTACATGGTGGGTGTGATGACCTATCTAAACCTCCTTCAAATCTTCCATGGGATTGAGTATTTTGGTTTTCGCTCCCAATCTGGAATCCCAATACTTAAAGTCAGTATATGGAACTTCGTAATGGGTGACATCAACAAGGGAGAGCTCTTCTCTGGCTGATCCCCTCGCATCATACCAACTCGCACATCAGGGAGAAGATATTTGATGGTTAGGTGCATAATGGATACAACTGCTCCAAAAGCGTTGATAGTTGGTCGCCCAACTATTATGTTGTAAGGTGATAGGGTATCTACAATGAGGTAGCTGACGTCAATTATCTTGGCATCTTCCCCCTCTCCACACACGATTTCTAGGGTTATGTGGCCCATTATTTTCATATGTTCGCTTGATAACCCTGTCAAAGAAACGTTGAATGTTTTTATGTCATTCGAGTTTAGTTGCAATATCTATATGGCATCCAACAACAGGACGTCAATAGAGCTGCCAGAGTCTACTAGAATGCGCTTAGTGTCCTAGTTGCATTATTGTATAATAATGAACATAGGATCATCATCGTGAGGGTTGAGGTCGAGGGCGTCCTCCTTAGAGAAGATGATATAAGCCTTTGTTTTTCCTTGGGGATTTCTGGGGAAGCTAGAGGATATTACATTTGTGAAACACCTGCCTTGTGTATTTCGTCTAGGAAGATCTAAAATGATCTCCACCGGAAAAACCTTCATCGATGGTGTTTATGTTATAGATTGTGGTTTTAAGGGTCATCTTTAGTGGAAAGATGAAGGAAGTTTGAGTAGGAGTGTGGCCCATGTTAGTTTAGTGGGGGGCCCACGATGGATGCCACTGTACTGATCAAAAAGTACATGTGTGCATGTTCCCCCTGCAATGGCAAGGAGACTCAGAGGTCTTAGAAGGTTTATAACATAATTTGTTGGTTATGGCTTAACCACGACGGCAAGAAGTCGTGTACGGTGGTGTTATGAGGTAGTCTAGGAGACCTGCTCATGTGAGGTGAGAGACACTACTGATGATTGATGATTCTTGGTGCTAAGTGTGTGGTAAGACGGCAATGAGCTTCGTGCTCTATAGGGTGTGGAGAATATGTATCACTTGGGGTATGTCCTTTCTCCCTTTAGGGAAGATGTATTTATATAGATCCTTAGGACCTGAGATTTTTTTGGAAAGGGTCACCGCCCACTTAGTCAATGGTTAACAGTTGAACCCATATTTTTATTAGAGTTGTGGATCAGTTAATGACCTTTAATTTCTCTCTTCCAAAAAATGTCTTATCGTGTTTTCCACGTAGGAGCGAGGTGATACCTCCTTTTAGGCGATATTACATCGCCGCCTCTTCTACGGCGATCTAAAGACACCGTTCTAGACGAGACTTTTTACAAATATGACACAATAATTGTGAAAGTTGATTGTATAAAACTTTTCAATTACTATAAACTCGTTCAATTGTTTTATTCATTGCAAAATTGCAATCCATACCTTATTGGACGAGAACCTGTAATTGAATTCTTAAAGAATATGAATGATTATGATACTCACATTAACTGATATATCTTCACCCACAAGAGGCATAATGTTTTGAGACGTAACTTGTGCGCTAAGTTGGCAATAGCTAGACTGTACATATCCATAAATATTTAGACAACTTGGAATTAGATGTATGACAAAGACAGCGTTGCTCGAAACCCTTCTTATTCAACTTTCACCAAATAAAATTCAGCAATTGTAAAAACTAAACATTTACTTTTAATAAATCGATCATATTCTTTTATTGCTTACAAATCCAACACAAACAAGAATATCGCCACACGTTGCAAAAGCAAATCATTTAGGTTTTGGACGATACTCCTATTTAGGATATGCATGATGTATTAAATAAAAATAATTGATAGTACACACCCTTTCATGTCACTGTTATAAAGAAATTTGGATGAAATAAAGGAGATATTAATATTTATTTTAAATTAGTGAAATGTAGAGAAATGAAAGTTAGATAATTTAATTCCATAAAATTGAATAAGGATTATCAAATTTTTTGGACGGGAGAGTTAGAGTAAATTTAGACAAAATTTAGATGAAATAAAAGAAATAGTTAATGAAATGTAAATAAATAGAAGTTAGAGAATCCAATATGTAAAATTGGAGAAAGATTCTTTAACATTTTATAGTGAAAGCTAAAATAACTTTAAGTAAAATTTAAATGAAAGATTCTTTCAACATTCTAATTTTCAAACTCAAGTACAAAATAAAAGCCACTCTTTTTGACAAAACCCTCAAAATGTACCATAGTCAAATTCCAGTCGTAAACCGTATGCTCCACCATCTAGTATAAAAGGAAAGCTCAACTCCGTAAACTAATCACACAACAATGTCTTCTTCTATCATCATCCATTTCTTCATCTTATCACTATCCTTTTTCTCGCTTTCTTCTGTATCAGCATCTCAACCACCACAACCCTTCATTCTTCCCATCAAAAAAGACCCATCAACCAGCCTCTTCTACACATCAGTTGGCATAGGAACTCCTAGAACAAATTTCAATCTAGCCATTGATCTTGCAGGAGAAAATCTCTGGTATGACTGTGATACTCACTACAATTCATCATCCTACACTCCTATTCAATGTGGCTCTAAACAATGTCCAGATATTGCATGTATTGGCTGTAATGGCCCCTTCAAACCAGGTTGCACTAACAACACGTGTCCTGCTTCTGCAACCAACTCATTAGCCAAATTCATTTTTGGTGGTGGCCTTGGTCAAGATTTCATTTTCATTTCTCAATACAAAGTTTCTGGTTTGCTTTCAAGTTGCATTGATACTGATAGAGTCAGTGTTGATTCACCACTAAATGGCTTACCAAAAAACACCAAAGGAATTATTGGTCTTGCAAGATCAAATCTTTCATTGCCAACACAGCTTGCTTTGAAAAACAATCTTCCAACCAAATTCTCTCTTTGTTTGCCTTCTTCAAACAAACAAGGATTCACTAACTTGCTTGTTGGTTCATACGAATTCTCCAAATTTGTTCAAACCACACCACTCATTGTGAACCCTGTTTCAACAGGTGCTGTTTCTGTTGAAGGTGTTCCTTCAAATGAATATTTTATTGATGTGAAAGCTATTAAGATCGATGGTCATGTTTTGAACTTAAAGCCTTCTTTACTGTCCATTGACAAAAAAGGAAATGGTGGGACCAAAATTAGTACTATAACTCCTTTCACTGAATTGCAAACTTCTGTTTACAAGCCCTTTATTCGTGATTTTCTGAAGAAGGCTTCTGATAGGAAGCTAAAGAGAGTGTCATCAGTGGCACCGTTTGAGGCTTGTTTTGACTCAACCAGCATCAAAAACTCTGTACCAAGAATTGATCTTGTTCTTCAAAAGGGAGTGCAGTGGACAATTCATGACACCAATTTGATTGTTAATGTAAAGAAAAATGTTGCTTGTCTTGGAATTGTGGATGGAGGGACAGAGCCAAGGATGTCGTTTACAAAAGCTTCAATTGTTATTGGTGGACATCAACTGGTGGACAATCTTTTGGTGTTTGATCAATCTTCCTCAAAGTTGAGCTTTAGTTCCTCGCTTTTGGTTCATAATGCAACTTGTTCCTACTAAATCCTACTGATCTTGAAAAAATTAATGATATAGTTTTATTAAGAACTTAGATTACATGTTGCAGCTTCTATTTCTTACTTTTCTCAGCATTTCTTTGCTTTGTAATGCAAAATAAAATTGTTGTGTTGTTCTGCAATTTGTTTGACAGCACATACCATGTAATCCTATTTATGAAAACTTATCATTGTGCATATAAATAAAGAAATCTATATATAAGCTATGCTTTTGTCTGCATTCCCACTTTTTATTTGTAATTTTGACTTATTTCAATTACCTTAGACAATTTTATTGAAATGTCTATCACGTAAATTGATTGCTTTGAGATAAAATGTATTGGCATGCATTCCTTTTAATGATCGTTGAATTTTTTTGCCAAGAAATAAATCTAACATTTCATAATTAACTGATAGCCCAACATTATTTATATTTTGATACAATAGAAAGAAACAAGAGCCAAGAGACACGGTGGGATTCAAGTAACAATTTACCAAAAAACTAATGAAACTAAAAATAAAGTTACATCAAGATACATAGAAATGCACCATCTAAGCGAAAATAGTAATACCTCATTATCAAAATGCTACTACTACGACTGAATTCGCTCTGCAACCCATCAAAATTGTGGTTCTCTCTACTCGTCTGTTACACATCCGCTAGAAGCAGGTTTCACATTTTTAATATACTGGATCAACAAAGACGAGGGATTTGCTTAGAGATTAGAGCAATGGAAGAATTAACAAGAGACAAAGTTGGTTTATATTTCATCATCCACAAGGTGCTAGTATGTGAATTTTGCTGTCACATGGTTCAGTCTATTGCAGAGCAATTGGATTAAGAGAAAGAAAAAATATAATTTTCTCTCATTTAATTCAACCATACAGCCAGTGCAAATGATCCATTCTCAATTATCAAATAACTTGGAGAACTAAATTTTTCCCAATACTAGTGGTATTTCATTATAGCATAAGAAACAAAAATCTAACAAAATGTCCGAAAATATTTAAATTTTAAACATAATCCATTTTAGGAGTTTTTGGTCTCATACCTTGTAAAGAACACCTTGGTTAGCTTTGTATGGTGGAGCAACCCATTTCCCCCTTCGTGCCTGCAACTCCTCGTCTGTAACTAAAACATCAATTCTCTTGTTTTGAACATCAATGTTGATGACGTCTCCATTTTGAATCAAACCAATTGGACCACCTTCCTATACAATTAAAGATGCCCGTAAAAATATTATTGGTTAGCTTCCTGAAACTACAGTTTAGATTTTCCTAATCTCAATAGAGTAAATACAGGAACATGGTACAGAAGAAATAGAAAGTAAGAGCACGACAGTCTTAACCTCTTCCCCGTGGTGAAGAATAAAGAACCATTATCTTCAACAACTCACGGTTACACACTCACATCCTCTAGAATAGAATGGCAACGTTGAAAAATGCATTCAAGTTGCACTTGGCTGCGGTAGAATGCATTTTCTAAATAGACAATATGGTCACAAACTCACGGTTACTTTTCAGAATGAACTTCAATAGGATAAAAAGTAAAACATGCACAACCCATTGTTCATATCCCTTTAAAAGAACCAAACCAGCTGGTTCTATGAAATTTGAAATTGATGGTACTCCGAGAGCAGAAGAAAATGTTCCTTACATAAGATAATTAAATGCATACCCCAATACCATTTGACCTAATTTAAAGATTGCAGTTCACACATGATGCATCTGAATATATTTAGCATACTATAGCAGAACAAAAATGATTGAAAAGCATAGTCAATTCACCTGTGCTTCAGGGCAAATATGACCAACCACAAACCCATGTGAACCTCCTGAAAATCTTCCGTCAGTCAATAAAGCGACATCCTGCAGTATCGAAAGACAATATCCTTAAGGAGTTTCACTTCATCGTGGTTCTCAAAGCTTGTAAAAAGGCATTCCTGTTTCTATTGAAAAAACTAATGACTGGCGAACATCTTTTAACACATGAATGAAAAATATAGAAAGAAAGGTTTGTGCTTATTAGGTTTTTAACATATGGAAAATAAATGTATGAAAATTGTAAAAGTGCTTGTTTAGGTCATTCATAGTAAAAATGGACAAAACGATGTTACAAACTAGGTAAATAGATAAAAATGAAGATATAATTATACAAAGCTAAGACAGACCTTTCCGAGCCCTGCTCCCATTATCGCACTTGTTGGTGTTAACATCTCAGGCATTCCCGGGCCACCTTTAGGCCCCTCTCCCCTGATTACAACAACTTTTCCCTGAAATGATGAATTTCATACAGAGGAAATCAATAAGAGTTTCATTTAGTTGCCTTGGACTGTGGCTATATCTGCGTAAAAGAAATCAATACAGTGACAACTGAAAAGGCTGTGAAATGGTAGCAATTTGAACAAAATTCATAATTAGTAGAGTTCAAACGAGAAACTGTGCAGTTTGATAAGGATACATTAATCGCTAAGTTTTCTTACGCATAAGGTATGTCTATATCCATGAGATGAACAAGGTAAGTATGAGTTTTGTTAAGCATGATAAATGGGGTAAAGGAATAAAAAACCAGTAATTATATATTCAAAACAAAATTTAGTTTTATGAATTATGGGTATACAGGAACAGGTACTCGTGTTACAGGAATTTTCGTCATCCCTAGTAATGAATCATACTTAATGGTAGAAATCCAAATTATGCTACCGAATCCAGATCTAAATCATGAATGGGAAAACTTTCCAACTCGTGAATCAAATTTTATTAACTGTAAGATACATTAGAAATAACAATATGGCACTTTTAAGTGAAGTGAAATGAACAAATAGTAAAGAAGAACAAAGGAGGAGAGAGGGAGCAAAACATTGTGTAGGCGGGAGGAGAGAAAAAAATGTAGGAAGGAATAGGAACCGTGAATGCAGAGTACTAGGACTCTTCAATGGTGATTCTGACTTGGGTTTTTAAAGATACTGTAACTTTGAAATAATGTAAAAACAAACCCTAATTGGCATTTTAGAAACAGGTTCGAGTTACCATGCCCGTTTCAAGACAACACCCCAGGCAGAATGAGAGTCATATGATTCAGAGGAAAGTTGTGATTCATTAAAATGAATCAAGATTCCGGCTGTGATTTGTCAAAAAGAAACAAACACTATGATTTGTATCAATTGAGTTCAATTTTGTTTTGAATCAAGATATGACTCGCGTGTATCATAGGATACTAATAACCATGCTCTAATTCTCTTGTAATGATTTGATTTACCTTTTCCTTAATCTCCCATTACTTCTAGCATTGGATTATCTTTCATCTTGTCTACCCTCCTTATTTTTCATACATGGTTATTTCTTCATACATGTTCTATTTGCTTAAGTCGAGACACTACTATCTTTTTTACAATTCGAACTACTCTAAATTTTCTCCAATGATTTCATCCCCAGTCCTATCCACTTTTGTGTGCCTTCTCGGCTATCACAACATTCTCATCTCTGCAATGCTAAGCCTTGTTGATTTGTTACTGTTAAGAAATGTGGTTGGGCCTAACTCAACCCTACAAAACCGGTTGGTAGAGTGAGGATTGCCCCCACTTATAAACACATGTTCATGCCATATATTGTCCGATGTGGGACTCTTAACAGTTACCACTTGGAATTTAATCCTATATAACATTGCAAGTCTTATAGTTGTGCAATATAACTTTCCTTTAGGCTTGAGTGATACCTTTCGAGCATAATTTATAGCCAGAGCATTCCCCCATTTCATCCACCCTACTTGGATCCGGTGGTTCACATCCCCTTATCTCCCATTTGTTTTGCGCTATAGACCAATAAAATCTAAATGTGAGACTAGTAATATGGTATATTGATATCCTTCAAATTTTACCTCTAAGCTATCGTTTGTGCCTCCCACTAAGCAATAAGCATACAATCTATATACTCAGTTTGATTTTTTTACTAAAATGAAAGCCATGAATTTCAAAGCCTTGCCTCCAAATATCTAACTCAACATTTATTTCTTCTCTTGACCATCCACAAATATATAATTTGCAATATAATGTTCGGTAGCAGCACCGTCTCTTGAAGATGCTCAGTAAGCACATGAAGAAACAAAATGAAAATATAAAGGCTACCATTGGTGTAAAACTATTGTATGAAATATTATGTGGCTCACATTATGTTCTCTCACAAACTCTTCTATCTTTATCTCTAGGGGTCCTATGATACAACTTTTCCAAATCAACAAAAACATGTAAATATTCTTTACTGCCACGATATCTCTGATAGTCTTTGCAGGTCTGTTCTACTTAGCTAACTTGAGAAGCTTTCACTATACTAAATGGTCTCTAGACCATTTTCCTGCAACAATACCCAACTCACTTTCTTAATCCATTATCCATCATACTTCCATTCAGTACTTGCTAAGACTCTGGTTAACTTCCACCAGTAAACTTGAATTTAACATAGGTTGATTACTTTTCTACCACATTAACTAGTAAACCTGTCAAAAATATCAATTCCTGACAGTTCATTCACACATCAGTCTTGAGACTCTTGACAACACTATGAAATAAGGAAATACCTTAAACCTCGAAGGATCCTCTGAAATGGCAGAAATCATTGCCTCCTCTCCTTCAAAAACAAGTGCGGGACCTATATAATAATCCATGTTAAGAATAAGTCGTGGTATGGACAATTGGGCAAAATAAAAATAAATAAAATTATAAAAATAGATAAAATAAAACAAAAACTCCAAGAGAACAGCACGAGAAGGTTCACCAGAGAAGTACAAGCCCTCTTTTCCAGTAATTTTAGCAACAGAACCCTGAGGTGCAACGTTTCCATATAATATTTGAATGTGAGCTGTCTTCTTGATGGGATTTTCAATTGGCCTTATTATTTCCTGAATCACATCAGAAAACTTGTAGGTTATCATGTGATCATTTTATTAACAGTCAAGCCGTTGCAATTGTGGAGCACTACATAGCAATATGATACACATGTCACAGACAGAACAAGCTCATACCTGCCCTTTGGACAAAGGAGGGAAAAGTTCTGCGTTTTCAGCTAGGGTCTTCCCAGTGACTAAGAGGAGGTATGCATGTTAGCGATGTGTACAATTTTTTATTTTTTGGAAACATTACTCAGTAATTAACACACAAAGGCAAGTACAATACCAGTCAAACAGTCACCATCTAAAAGGCCTTGCTCAAGAAGGTAGCGGATAACTGCTGGGGTCCCTCCAATCTTTCAAAAAAATGAAAAGAATAGAGGATTTCAATCACGGTTAACAATGATAATTAAAATAGCATAAATACCAATAGCATGACCAGGAAAAAATCTTGACAGTAATAAAATAAATTTCATATACAAACAATAACAACAAAAATAATAATACTATTAATAGAGAGAATATATCAAATAAATCAATACATACCTTATGAACATCTTCCATAACATATTTCCCACTAGGCTTAAGATCAGCAATGAAAGGAACTTCATCACTAACCTTCTGAAAATCATCAAGAGTCAAATCAACGCCAACAGACCTGCAAAATTCATTACATGAGGCTTCTCTAAGGATCACGTATAACAAGAGGCTCACCGTAACTAATATTCTACTCACTTGGCAATAGCAATTAAATGCAACACAGCATTGGTAGATCCACCAAGGGCCATAACTATAACCATTGCATTACGTAATGATTTGCGAGTGATGATATCCCGGGGCTTCAAGTCCATCCTCAACAACTCAAGAAGATATTTTCCGGCTAACCGACACTCGTCCAACTTTAGTGGATCCTCGGCAGGTGTAGATGAGCTATGGAAAGAACAAATAAGGATCAGCACACTAAAAAAGACAGCGCCAAAAATCTATCAATGTACTTACCTATATGGAAGAGACATGCCCATAGCTTCTATTGCAGAAGCCATGGTATTGGCTGTATACATTCCACCACAGGCCCCTGCACCAGGGCAAGAGTTGCGGATAACATCTTGTCTGTGTTCATCACTAATGGATCCACTCACATATTCTCCATAGATCTGCGTGAAAACAATAAAACGTTAATAATATGAGTAGCATAACCCTTATAGTACGAATTCAGTTATTGATATACAGGGAAAACAAATTTTTATTATGGACTAGCATTCCACACATGAACTATAAGCATTTCATCTTTTAGTTCAAAAGGAAAAAAAAACTTTAATCTCGAAGAAGATGGTGCAAGAACCAAATGATAGACCATAAGCCTTGACAATAAATATGCATGCTTGGTTCATACTTCCAGTTTTCACTTTTAAGCACACAAAAAAATGCACTTTTATGACCAATTTTCATAGTTTGTAAGAAAGACAAATGAAAGCTATAAAAAGTTGTTTCCACTTTTTCAATATAAACCATTGGGGAAAAAAGCAAAGTGAAAACGATGTAACATTTTGGTAATTAAAACTGGAAAAGAAAAATGAAGCGAACAACTTTTCTAAAATCTCTCTTACAATACCTCTAAAAGTAATAATAAAAGAGAAATATTTCATTAATTGTAAAGAGCTGGGAGAACTCCTTTTAAGTTTACATTCTCTCTATCTATTCCTCTCCAGTTTAAAATTGTTCGTAGAGTCTACATTTGAAGAGTATACAATAAAATACCAAATGTTCAAGCACAGTAACAGATGGGACAATGACTTTTCGTACCTGAAAGGCAGACACTATGTCGAATGTGTCACCCTTAAAGTGACCAGGCTGGAAGAAAAAAAACAAAATTTAGATTAATAAATATACCAAGATTGGAAATCAGAACCAAATTTCAACAATAACAACTTCCATAATTTTCAATAAAGAAATAAGCAATCAGTAGTTGATAGTAACTGCCAAAATGCCAAATAAAACATACAATGCAAAATATAAGGCAATGGCTTCAACTCCACTTCTCTAATAACCAAATATATCCCCTTAAGTACATCAATTTTTTCCAGGTATTAAATTGTATTAAAATTCCCAGTAAGAACAAATGCATACCATCTGCACAAGTGGCATGAATCCTATTAACAACTTCAAACTAAACCATATTCGTTGCCTTAATTCCCAACATTAAGTCTAACTTTACAACCCTTACTTCAAAGAAACCATAAACAAACTCTTTAATAATAAAAACTCACAATCCACCCTGCCTACATATTACCAGATAACAGTAACAAATCAAGATATTCAAATTAATACTTGTCTTGAAGAGTTTTTTCCCCTATCAAAGAAAATTGCAACGAGATTCACCCTTTTAGTTCAGTCATTTCAGCAAACAATTGAACCGCTATACCTTTATAGTCCCACCATAAACCATAATACTCGGTCGATTAAGCCTTCCCATTGCAATGATTGTACCTGGCATCTATAGAATCATGATTAGATATTAGATACTATTACATAACAAAATTGCAACAAAAAAAGATCAAATCAAAAAGAAACAAAGATCTTACATTTTTGTCACAACCAGGGATGGAGATATTCCCATCATACCACTGAGCAGCCATAACAGTCTCAATACTATCAGCAATAAGGTCCCTAGACTGCAAACTATAACACATCCCTCTAGTCCCCATGGAAATAGCATCACTAACACCAATAGTATTAAACCTAAACGGAATCATACCAGCTTCAGCCACACCTTCTTTAACAACCTCAGAGAGACGGAGAAGATGCATGTTACAGGTGTTCCCTTCGTACCAAACGGAGGAAACTCCGACTTGAGGTTTCTTCATGTCATCTTCGGAAAGACCGACACCGTAGAGAATAGCTTGCGATGCGCCTTGGGATTTTGGCTCGGTGATGCGGGAACTGTATTTGTTGAGCTTGACCTGTGTGGATTGGGGAGAGGGAGAATCGACTGAAACGGAAGCTTTTACCACGCGCCGGGAAGAAGCGTGAGTGGGGAAAATCGGGGAGTAGGTTGGGGAAAAGAGAGTTGACTGCATTGTTGGATTTGGGTGGCGGAGACGGCGAGATAGCGGAGGAGTGAAATGAAAAGTGGAAAAGGGTTTAGGAGAAAGAGAAACTGGGTTTATGACTACTATGAGTGTAAGAAAATAAAATAAAGTAGGATACAGTTGTTGGAAATTAAGTATAATCACCACGTGAAGCGAAACTGGACAAACTTGTTGTAAGAAACCAAAAACAAAAATTCTAATAATACAAAACAATTTTTATAAAAGATGTAACTTCCGTTTATGTTAAATAAAATGGTTGACTAATCTTATTTCATTTTTAAATAATATGATTTATATATATTAAATCATATTTTGTAATAAACATTTAAGCTGGTAAAAAAAATTCTAGATGAAATTTGAAAGAATTAATTAAGTGAATTATATTTGAGATTTTTTAAGACTAAATCAATATTTTTAATTTTTAGAAGAAAAATAAACTATTAACTTTTAGAAATAAATTATATCTTCAATTGATTTATTTTTCATTGACAGATAAGTGACTATAATCATTTAAAATTCAGAGAATAATTATATTGATATTTGCAAAGTTTGAATCTCAAGGACTTTTCAATTTATATTGTAATCATCACAATTGAAATAATATCTTCTTTTTATCAATTTGGAGTAATTGTTTTAGAGACTAATTGTTATACATTATCAGTGTAAAAAAATTTACAAGATAAATGTGATTATTTTTTAAACAACTAAAATAAAAATCAAATCTTTTAAATAGATCAGTAATTATAATTAATTGACATTGTATAAATTTATATTAATTAAATTAAATTATTTAATACAATGGAAAGAAAACAAAAACAAAACATCAGGGGTTTGATTGGTTGTGAGAAAAAATTGAGAAGAGAGAAATAAGTGAGAGAGAATGTAATAAGAGAGAAAGAGAAGAGAAATAATGTAGATTTTAGGTATGAAAATTGTATCCAATACCCCTACAGTTATACTCATACTCCTACACTTTTAAAAAAATACCAATTTTATTCCTACCTATTTTTTATTATTTTATTTTTTTACTTTTTACTGTCCTGTCAGATTTTCAGAGTTCCGAAAAATTCACCCATCAAGTCGTTCAAAACACTTTTAAAATGACTTTCAGTATGTTGTTTTTTCCAAACCGGAAGACTTTGGCTAAGAGTTCCGATTTATACAAAATATGTACCAGAAGAGTTAAACAAAGACTTCCGGTTTGAGTTTTACGTAGAAATCTTCCGGAAGACTATATGTCATGTCTTCCTGTTTGGTAGTATTATTTACCGGAACACTTGTCTTTAGAGTTCCGGTATGAAGGAAAAGTGTACCGGAACACTTTTTACAAGTCTTCCGGTTTATTATCTTTGTCTACCGGAACTCTTTTCCTGAGTCATCTGGTTTGCTTTTGTAAAAAAAATTTATGCAGGTACTGAAATTCCTTCACAAATATGCGATAAAGATTAGATATGTGTAGATACGTCTGATGTTTTTTCAACTACTCAGAGATTTGGTACACGAGAAGAGGTGATAAGATGGATTAAAGAGATCGAAATCCGTAATAAAATAACAGTTATCATCACCCGTTCAGATATTGAAACAGGCAAGAGATGAAGAAGTAACAAATTAATATTTGAATGTGATAAAGGTGGAAAACACAAAGATATTGATAGTGGAACCCAAAGTGCGACGAAAAAATGTGGATGTCTATTTATAATCAGGTCAATTCCAACGACTGATGGATCTGGATGGAAGATTGATGTAAAATGTGGAGTTCATAACCATGGTTTACCTGATAGATTAGAAGGTCACGCATTGTTGGTAGGTTGACAGCGGATTAGAAGCAACATGTTGTTGATTTGACAAAGAGAAAGGTTCCACCTAGACATATATTGCTTTCATTGCAAGAGCAAGATTCAGATAATGTCACTCGGATCACGCAAATATACAAGCAGAAGAGTATGATAGAATAAAATATAAGAGGTCCTAAAAGTGAGATACAACATTTATTTAAGCTTATTGAGGATGCAGGATATGTTTATTGGAGTAGAAAAAGAGATGACTCTGAAGTTATTAGAGATATATTTTTGGCTCATCCAGATTCAGTTAAGTTGTTGAATATTTTTCCTATTGTGTTAGTTATGGACAGCACTTACAAGACAAACAAATATAGGCAACCTCTGTTTGAAATTGTTGGCATGACATCAACTGAGTTGACTTTTATTGTCGCATTTGCGTATATTGAGTCTGAGCAGACTGAGACTTTTTGTTGGGTGCTAGATAAGCTTAAACAATTGTTTGTGAAGAAAGATTTATGTCCACAAGGGATTTTGACAGATAGAGATCTTGCTTTGATGAAAGCCATTAAAATTGTGTTTTCAAGGTCGATCAATTTGCTATGTCGATTTCATGTTAACAAGAATGCTGGTGCAAAACGGAAACAATATGTGGCTAATGACATGCAAAAGAAAATTGACGAATTATGGATGGATATTGTATGGGCTAGTGATGAGGTTGAGTATGATCAAAGGTTGAACCAACTTGAGCAGGCGTGTGTTGATTGTAATGAATTTATTGATTATGTGAAGGACATATGGTTGACACCACAGAGACAAAGATTTGTTGGAGCATGGGTTAATCGAGTGCTACATTTGGGTAACACCACGACTAATCGGTATGTATTTATTTTTAGTATTTCCAAATTGTATATCTTTTTTGTATTTTTTTTTAAATATTTTTAATATGTATTAATTTTAGGGTTGAGTCTGCTCATTGGAAGTTAAAGCAAATGTTGGGGAACAATATTGGTGACATGGTCAAATGTTTGGAGGCTATGAATGACAACTTAAAGTTACAACTGGGCAAAATTAGAGCTTCTTTTCAAAATAGTTTTTATGAAGTTGAGCACACCCACGTAAGTCCATTTTACAATAATTTACGTGGTTCAGTGTCTCGAGATACATTGAGACGCATTGTTGAAGAGTTAAAACGAGTTGATTATGTTAAAACTAACAAGGAAATATGTCGTTGTACTCTTAGAACAACCTACGGATTACCTTGTGCTTGTGAGTTGACAGGATATAGAATTGATGGTATACCGATACCAATAGATGTTGTGCATGTTCATTGGGGAAAACTAAGTATGAAAGTTAAGTTGGACGAAGATATAGATGATGGATTAAAGGTGGATATGAGTAGCGTAATAGATGAGTTGTGGAAAAGGTTTAAGTCACTAGATGTTGTTGGGAAAAGGGCATTAAAAAGTAGGGTTTTTGAACTTGTCTTCCCCACAATGACTTTTATATGTCCACCACTTGAGAAAATAAAAACTAAAGGGGGAGTCAAGAAGAAAGGCAAAAAACCAGTAGGGTATGATGTTTATAGAGACCCTTCGTATCACGAGTATGTTGATCAAGCATTTCAATCTTCACAGAGGAAATCTCAACCATCACAAACTTTGAAGAAATCTCAACTATCACAGGCTTCACAAAAGAAATCTCAACCATCACAGGCTTCGAAGAAGTTGAAATTATCACAATCTTCACAGTCATATAAGTAGTTCATCCTTCAGTTTCCTAATCACGTCAGGTTATATATTGATGATGTAGTTAATGTTGTATTAGATGGTAATTGTGGATTTAAAGTCATTGCTTCATTTCATGGATATGGTGAAGATGGTTGGCCAATGGTTCGTCGAGACTTGGGGTTGGAAATAATACATAATGAAATATCAAGTTTGTATGCCCAATTTATTTACTGATCAGTTAGCAGTAGTGAGAGAATCTTTTATGATAAAGGCATTTGGTCCTCAACCACCACATAAATGGTTAACTATACCAGATATGGCATATTCTGCTTTGGTTTATATTATTTCAATCATTAAGACATATATTATTTAAGTTTGTTTTATCTTGGTGCTTAAAGCTTTTATACTATATTGTTAAATAACAATATTATATATATATATATATATATATATATATATATATATATATATATATATATATATATATATATATATATATATATATATATATATATATATATATATATATATATATATATATATATATATATATATATATATATATATATATATATATATATATATATATATATATATATATATATATATATATATATATATATATATATATATATATTGTTAGAACACATATTGGTTCTTAATTATATCTCTATGTTTTGATGATAACTCTTACGAAATTTTGTATTAAGAAATTATATACTCTAAAATTTGTTTAAGTATCTTTGCTGCAGATATTAAAGTGAATATTATTCTGAAAGCAAATTAGATCTGAACATGAAATTATGCAAGGCTCTGAGGCGTCAGAAGCATCTATTAGAAGAATCTGAACGCTGCCTACAGAAGATTTTGAGCGCTGCCTACAGAAGGATCTGAAGCAGAAGCTACAAAAGGATCTGAAGCAGAAGCTACAGAAGCATCTGAAGCATTGAAGACTTTTGTATGAAGAGTTTCAAGCACAGTTTTTCAAAAGACTCTGATAGTACTGTATGCTACAAGTACTGAGGATCTGATCCCAAACTCTGCTCTGAATTATTACACGCTGAAAGCACACTTGCTGCAATGCTCTGATTCAGCAAACTCTGATGAACATCAAAGACTCTGATCACTCAAGGCTCTGATGTTATTTGCTGAGTATTAGAAACTTGTTGAAGAAGAATTCAAAGTTATGTCTGTTGGTTTGGCCAAACGACTCTTTCCTCATTTATGTTAGACATAAGAATACAAACAAAAAGGATTTCTCTATGCATTCTAATTCTAGGAAAGGTCAAGTGATGTAAAGACAAAAATGCTACAGCCCTTTTCAGTACACAACCTTCAACGTGAAAACAACTTGGACTTTTGTGCCTATAAAAGCAAGACTCCAACTCTCTTCTTCAGTTGACGAAACATTGAAAGAATTCAAAGAAAAGCTCTCATATAATTTATTCTCATTGTTGAATTTATTTCATAGTTCTTAAAC